GAAGACAACCTCCTGCATTGCCTGGGCTCACAGCCTATCGTTGTCGGCTGTGGCCCATTTGCAAACCCTCCCTGAAGGCCCCCAGCCGAAGTGGAAACGCTAAACAAACAGGGTCATGGGCTTAAGGGTTCAGGGTTTAGGATTTAGGTTGAGGGTTTCGTGTGTTGGGTTTTCGGGCTTTTAGGGTCTAGAAACCTAGGGCTTCCAACCCACAATCTTGATATGGTAAGCGCACTTTTTCGCAATGCCATGTTGTGGACATCGTGTGGGTTGTTCCCTCCTTTCATTTCTGGAGTTTAGGCTTCAAGGATTGAATCTGATATGAATCTAGGATCCTCAAGAAGGACCCCCCAAAATGGAACAACCCCACTCCCCATTGAGGGCACCTCTGAAGGCTTTTGAGGGATTTGTTTGATAACTGGCTGGAAGGGCTTTCTACACTTCATCGTTGTGGGTTCAACGGTTTAGGGTTTAAACCCTACACCCTAAACCCTAAACCCTAAACCCTAAACCCACAGGCCTTCTGGGCCTGGGGATTCAGCTGTTGGAAGAGTTTCGGCTGTTTTGTAATTCTTGCTTCAGAAATATATAGGGGTTTCCGAAAATAAGGGGTGCCCTATTTTGGGGTCCTTATAATAAGGATCCTACTATTTGGGGTACTATCTTAGGGGTCCCCTATTTTCGGAAACCCCCATATACAGTAGCAAGTTGCCTTAAAACCGGACAGCTGCAAGGCTTTATCTCAACCTGCGCACTATAAAGTGTCTACAATAGAAGCCATCTACGTGACCCTGAGGGTTCAACAGACAACTGTTTCGACGTCGTCTGCTGAAACGTGTTCAGGAGAAAGATTGGAGGAATGGGTCCAGGGTCTTGGCCTGGGGCTTCGCATCTAGAGCTTAAGGTTCAGAGGGTGGGGCACTTAGACTGGAGAGAACTCAGGGCCTACAATTTTATATCCCCCAAAACCGTTTTGCAAAAACTCAAATTTCAAAAATCACTTCAACTGCCCGAAAAAAGTGGGCGGAAGAGTTGAGACTGGCTTAACCCTAAACCCTAAACCCTAAACGGTTGAGATTAGGTTTGGGTCTTAGGGTCTGGGGCTTGGTGGCCTGGCTTTGGGGTTTGGGGTTTAGGGGTTTGGGGTTTGGGGTTTGGGGTTTGGAGTTTGGGGTTTAGGGTTTGGGGTTTGGGGTTGAGTGGTTGCAGGTTTAAGGTTGAGGGTGTGGGGTATGGCAGGTCTGGGCAAGCGGAGCGAACAGGATCGGAGGTTTGCTTGCGCTGGGCACATGTATCATGGGAATTTCAGACTCTTCTGCCCAGGAATCTTGTGATTCAGAAGATGTGCTTTAAACGATGCTATAAAAGGTTGGGAGCAGGGGCAGGCTCCGGCTGCAACTATCATAGTGCAGCATTCAAAGAGGCACGTTTGTGGCGCAAAGAACATGAACAATCCTCTGCATGGCGTCTGCTGGACTTAGCCACTGCATGGACCCCAAATTCCACTGTCACGGATGTTTCTCGGAGTAGTAAAGATACGAAGGAAACCCTGCACGCTAATTACAGAGCGCCTACTTCCGTGTTTATGCACAATGGTAAAAGGCCTAGGGCTTAGGGCTTGCAGGTGCGCCGCTATGCACCAGGCGCTGTTTCGAAGGAGACGCACTTCCAAATTGCAAACCCTAAACCCTAAACCACTTCAACAGATGCGTGCAAACCCTAAGCCTTAAACCCTAAACCCTAAACCACTTCAACAGATGCGTGCAAACCCTAAGCCCTAAACCCTAAACCCTAAACCACTTCAACAGATGCGTGCCTTGGTGCTGGAAGCCTTCGCTCTCTATGGATGAGTAGAGCCTTGGACCCCCCCAAAGTATGTAGAAGAATAGCCTTTTTATGGGTTTAGGGTTTAGGGTGCCATTTGTGGGTTTTTGGGCCATTAGTTTACCTACTTTTCGGGGGTTTAGGAACTGACTTGGTCGACTCCGGCTGATCTGGCTTTCGGCTGCTGCACTTCGGGTTGTTCAAGCACCACAAACCTGCCAGCTGTTGCCACCTGCTGTAATGGCAAAAAAATATTGGGCTTCGAAATAACCAGCTAGAAAAAGTATAAACGTTTAGCTCATACTGGTTCCTTTCAGGAACAGGTCAAACAAAGTAACAAAGTATGGTACTCCAAAGCCCAGAGGAAGACATCCTATAAAGCTGGCAGCCACGACAAAGTCCTGCCGAGAGTCGTAGCCTCGACCCCGGCAGTGCAACACGCGTGTGCAGGGCCCAGTTTCGCAGGTGGTGCGAGGCTTATTTGATATTTTGTGTATAGTGTATTTGCATGTGTGTATGTATACATATATATATATATATATATTTATATTTATTTATTTATCTATTTATTTATTTATGTATTTGTGTGTTTAATTATTTATAGGTTGTGCCTACCAGATCTGCATCTTAACTACTTGTCAGCCGAAAGACATCCTGGTCCTAGCATGACTCAATGCCCCTAACCCTGAACCCTAGAAGCACAATTTAGGTGTCGTGAGTTCGCTCAAACATGACGATAGGTTACGGCGGGCACCAGGCATTACCAAATCATGATGCCCATGCATCGATTCTCCCTTCTCCTAGGACTTCTACCATATTCGCGCTTTTGGCCCTATACTTATGTTTTGCTTTTTGCTGCCCTCCGTGTGAGTGTCTTTGCCTCAAGCTCCGCTGAAACACCACATCATGCAGCGTTTTCTGGTCGAGTACATGTTTGCTAAGTACTCGGCTGCCTCTTTGCCCACCTGCCGGGCTGTTTTGAAACACCAAAACTAAAAGCATGTAGAAGGGCTTGAGGACAGGCTCAGCACGTGCCCGACAAATTTCTGCAAAAACAGAACCCAAAAACGAAGACAATAAGGCTTTGAGCTCCAAGAACGTTGGACAAACCCTAATGAGTTTTATGTAAAGGCTTTCCTAACTCGAATAGCTATTTGGGGCATATTATAGATAGTGTAGATACAAATGGACTATAACGATTAGACTAGGGTTTTGGGGCCCATTATACTATACTTGTAATATGGAAACCCCAAAATACCGTAGGTAACTATCAAGGTCCCTATATATTACTTTTACGAAATGTTCCGACCCCCGGATTCTGCGCTGATTCCGGGTCCTAAACCTTAGAAAACCAAATCCCTGAACTCAAAATGTGCAGGGGAAAGCCTCGAAGCCACAAGCCTGCAGGCTTTTGAGCTGAAGGTCTCAGATTCATTGTTATTACGGCCTTTACATTAAGTTCATTTGGGTTTGCATTCCAACGTTTTACATTTGAGTTCGGGGATTCGGCATTCTGCGGTTTAGGACCCGAAATCAACTATGGGGTTTATGGGTTTGGGGTTTAGGGATCTCAGATTGCATGCGAGCATGCGAAAGCTCCGAACTACGCTCCATTTTTGGGGGTACCAAAAGAATACTTCGGGTGACTACACTAGGCACGCCGATTGCTGATATGCTTCGGGCTGCAGGGCCAGAATCTGCCTCTCGATGTTGCTTGATTCGAGGGTTTAGGCTAGGGGGTATAGGGCTTTAGGGCTCGGGGTTTGGAGTTTAAGCTTCAGGGGACAGGGTTGTAGATGTAAGGTGTGGCGCCTGGAGGGACGCATGAATGCTAACTCCCCAGCTCTTCAGGTCTTGGACACTAGGGTTCATAATGTCAGGGCCTGAATTCATGGAAGAGGGGTTTTGGGTATACCATGCCAAAGCAACCCGAGGACTACAGGAATCTGACTAAACCCCTAAACCCTAAACCCTAAACCCTAAACCCTAAAACCCTAAACCCTAAACCCTAAACCCTAAACCCTAAACCCTAAACCCTAAACCCTAAACCGACCCCAACCTGAAGGACTGAATCCAGTTGTCTTGAGGCTTCGTGTAGCACAACGAAGGCAACACGTGCTGAGCTCTGAATCCCGGGGTGCTTGGGAGATTCGGTTTAAGGTTTAAGGTTTAGGGTTTAGGGTTTAGGGTTTAGGGTTCTTGCATGGGTGTATGAACCGGTTGAGGGTTTAGGGTTTCGGGGAAGCCTAAGCCCTACACACCAAGCCTTTCATGCGGGTAATGTGGGGACCTGCACACGATACTTGGGAATATTTCTCTTTAGGGCCCCCCCAACAAAAAATGCAAGGTTTAGGGTTTAGGGTTTGGGGTTTAGGATTAAATTAGGGCTCACGGCAGGGATCACAAGTGATGAAATTATAATTTCACAAGAAAATGAATACAAACAACCCTAAAATCGTCGATGCTTAATGTAGGGGCCTTAATCCTTATAAGGATTAAGGCTAATTAGAACAGGGTTTTGGGGTATACTATACTATAATGATAACAAGGAACCCCCCCAGAAAAAATAGTATAGGTAACTACTAAGGCCCCTAAAGCCCTAAACCCTTATACTAGCCCTTATAGAACCCTTGAAGGAACTCTTTAAAGGCACCCCCGAAACCTTATTCTACTTATTAAGGCCGCTACATTAGGGCCTTGGATTTAGGCCTTGATCGGGTAAGTCCGGGAAGCCCCAGACCTCCACCAAACCTCTGGCTCGAATCACTGCCCTCTGTTTAGGGTTTAGGGTTAAGGGT